GGGCACTGAATCCTCTAAGGAAAGAAACGGAGTAAGTTTCGGGTTCATAAAGGCCTCGGTCCTTTCCTATAGGGACTGTAATCCGGTTATGCAGGCTGGCTGCAGCGGGATTCGACCCCATCCACGAACAAGACAATTAGAGGACAAGGACACAAGAAATATTTGGGGCCCCGGTGCGAGTGTGCGCCCGACGCGGTCAGGACGCTGCGGTTTGGATTCGTTTTTGGGTCCTCTGCGCTCCGTTCTCCGTTTTTTGCTAAACGCAGAAACTTCTATTTTTTTTTTTTTAGCGTTATAATTTTTAGCGCTAACGTTATCCGGCACGTTAGCAGATTCAATGCCCACTGCCATGAGCCAAGGCACGTTTCTCCGGACAAGTGTCCCAAGACATCCGCGCCCGACCGACTGGATGACCACTAGTTTGGTGTTTTCACGACCGCATCTACATCGACGCTGACTTCCCTTGGTTGCTCTGACGGTTTTCCGAGTCCTGGGCTCGAGTACGGCGCTGTCTCCTGTGGCCTTCGCCCTTTCGCTTTCTTTTCTCTGTTCGCAGTGCGGCTATGGCTTTTGTACCGCGGCAAAGACTCCTGACCCCGCCGGGGTGACGGCTTCTCACTCTCACCCTCCGGGGCTGTGACCGGCAAGCCTGTCCGCGGTTAGTCCGCGGGCCCTGAGGTGCATTTCAGGTCCCAGGTACGATCAGGACGCCGTGGTTTCCATTCGTTTTCGGGTCCTCTTCGTTCCGCTTGCCGTCGATTCTAACCGCTGGAAATTCGTCCCTTGTCTGTTGTTAGGCGATTTCATACCGATGCGGTCGAAACGCACGTTTTCCGCCCTGCAAGTGTCCCAAAGCATCCGATCCCGGCTTCCTGAAAGAGGACCAATTCGGTGGATGGACGACCGAATCTCTGTAACCTCTGTTTTCCTTTCTTTTTGTCAAGGGTTTCCGGTGCAGCACCGCCCAGGGCTCGAACACGGTCAAGTGTCCACTACGGTCAAGTGCAGGATGACTCATGTTTTCTAGGACAGTTCAGGGCTCGAGTGTAGCAGTGTCTCCTGTTCCTTTGTCCTCTCGCCATCCTGTCTCCGTTCTCAGTGCAAACAGCAGCCTGTGCACTGGTGCAGGCGGCGGAGACTTTTCTGCAAGCTCCCGCCCTGCGTATTTGTAGTCTTCCGGGAAGGAGGGGCGGACGAATTAGTAAATTTGTCCAGCTGAAAAGGTCCATTGCACGACATCGTCTATCGTGGGACATCGACTCGGAAGGTCGAGTCACGGACACAGGCTCGCTAAAAGCGGATCCAAAGCAATGAAATCGCCACGCGGATGAGTGCGGGCGCCACAAGGACCACTGCCATGAACAAGTCGGCCTTCTGCTGGGAGACAGAGCTGCAGACTGGTATCAAAGCATTTCTGGCTCGCGCTTCTTCATTGGCTGAGCCCACCCACCACCGTGGACTTGAGGGCCCGAGGACTAAGCACCGACTGGCACAGATCTTGAGGCGGGTCACAACCCCGGAGGGTGAGAGTGAGAAGCCATCACACTGGCGCGGTCCGGCGTCTTTCCCGCGGTACAAAAGTCCTAATCGCGCTGAGAACGGAGAAAAGAAAACGAAAGGGCGAAGGCCACAAGAGACAGCGCCGCACTCCAGCCCTGGACCCTGCTGTCCCTGAAAACCATCAGAGGAACCAAGGGAAGGCAGCGGAGACGGAGATAAGGTCGTGAAAACACCGAACTTATGATGGTTCCAGTTAGTCGGGCAGGGATGTCTTTGGACACTTGTCCGGAGAAAACGTGTCTTGGCCGATGGCAGTCGGCACTGAATCCGATAACGAAAAAAAATAAATAAATCCAAGTTTCAGCGTTTAGAAACAACGGAGGATGGAGCGCAGAGGATGTGAAAACGAACTGAAACCTCAGGGTTCCGACTGCATCGGGTACACCACTGGTACCTGGCGACAAACGTTTCTTGTGTCCTTGTCCTCTGGTCGTCCTGTTCGTGGTGGGGGTCGAATCCCGCTGCAGCCAGCCTGGCAGAACCGGATCGCAGTCCTTATAGGAAAGGGCCGAGGCCTTTCTGAACGCCATACTTCCTCGGCTTTCTAACCTTAGCGGATTCAGTGCCCACCGAAGTCGGTCAAGTCTCCCAAGACATCCGAACCGGCCGCCTGGGGGAGACAAATGCGGTGTTCGCACCGCGGAATCTTCGTCGCGCCTGCGTCCCTTCTGTGGAGCTGACGGTTTTCGGGAACAGCACGGTCCAGGGCTCGAGTACTGCGCTCGCAGACCCAGTGTCGCCGACCTTTTCGGTTAGCGAGGTGGCTGTGGCCCCAGGAGCCCTGGTAAGGCGGGAAAGACTCCGGACCCGGCAGGCTTGAGGATTCTCACTGGCGTTCTCCGAGATTGTGAGCGGCCCCGCGAACCTGCTCCAGTTGTCGGTTCGTCCGCGGGCCCCGAGTCCACGGGGGTGGGTGAGCAGAGCCGGAG